GTGCCAGGCTGACCCAAATGTGCTTTTAACTCTTAGGCTCTTATACCTTTCTCAGAAGGAGCAAAGAAATAAGAAATCCAGTTTTCTGCTTCTTTCTCTTAAACATTTCTTTTGAATATGATGATTAAAAAAAGACAGAAAAACTTTGATTAACTATACCTCCCATTTTGATTATTTTATTTTCCCAACTTCTATTTTAAGAAAAATAACTCAGAATGTTAATATCAGGGATCACCTTTTAAGTTTGGCTTCCTTTTTTGTTTATTAATGTGAGAGAGAGAGAGGGAGGAGAGAGAGAGATGTGTTGTTCCATTTATTTATGCATTCGTTGGTTGATTCTTGTATGTGCCCTGACTGGGGATCAAACCTGCAACCCTGTTGCATTAGCATGATGCTCTAACTAATTTAGCTACTGGCAGGGCCTCAGCTTCCTTTTTTAAAATAACAGTGAGATATAATTTATATAACATACCGTTCTCCCACTTAAAGTGTACAGTTCTGTGATTTTTAATATATTCACAGGGCTGTGGGTTGTGTGACCGTCACCACAATAGAATCACTTCTAAAAAGGGGCTTCTAGGACCTCTCCTGGACTAATATAGATTCGGTCTGGTTTCCCCATCTCTGTTTCGCCTGCATTACCGTATGGTGAGAATTAGATTGAGAGTGATGTTCCCACACTATAAGACTTTGCATCATCAAAGCACAAATGATGTGCTCACAGAAGCGGAACAGTCTGCTCATTATTGGAAACTTGTTCAGCAACAGAGCTTCAGATTTTGGAAAGCTCTGTTGTTGAGTTAACCCCAGAACACGTAAGTGTCTTCATCAGCCCAGCTTTATTCAGGTGGGACATGTCTCCAGTGTGTGGCTTCAAGTCCTTAAGCCCATTTTATGACACAGCATGGGTCTGAGTCTGTTCATGTATCAAAGTGGCCAGTTTCCCAGTGGGCTGTCTTCCAGGGCGAGGAAGGAATGTATGGCTGAGCCCCGCAGGATGCGCTCTTTCTACGCTGCTGGTATCCATCCCACTGAGATCCCCGCTGGGACAGAGGATCCCATTTGTCCAGCATCTGATGTCCCTGGCTGTGGTGGAGGCGGTCAGGTCCATTCCTGGGTACCAGGTACGTGCGGCTGCCTCACCTTTATGTCCCCACCCCTGCGTGCAGATGTCGGCTTGGTTTGTGTGTAGCATATGTTTGCATGATGATTGCATGTAGAGCCTTGGCCTGCTCTTTGCAAAGCTGGCAGCAGCGTTCCTGGAGTTTTAAAAGCGCCGCCGGGATTTATAGCCGCTTCAGCTCGCCAGAATGGCTTTCTCTCTTGGGGTTCCCTCTGTCCTGTTATCAAACAGCCTAGTAAGGGTGATATTTTTTTATTTTTTTAATTGAAGCACATTGAACTGGATGGAGCTATTTGTCTGTATTTTCTGGTGAAAAGGCTTATTTAATAGACCCAGAAAATCCCTCTCATTTCCTACTCTCATTACCACAGTCTGTGTTCAGCAGAGCTCTCCTTGGTCTGCAGTTGTACGGGCTCAGTGTGCAGGTTCATTCAGGACTCTGCCCCCAGCTGTAGGGACAGATGTGGCGGCTTCATCGTTACTGTTGGGTGCTTTGGTGACAGTGATTAAGAAGACAAGAAAAAAGGGGCAGTTAACACAGTGACTAAAAAGCCTTTTCTCTGGTACCCACCTCCCCCTCACCAGATCTCCCTTCTCAGTTTTGTGGGAAGAATTTCATATGGCCATTAAAAGGGGGGAGGGGTGTCTCCTGCCTTCTTCCTACCTATAGCTCTTACTTATGCAGGCTAGAAACAGTCATCATATTAATTCCCGAGGCAAGATGCTGAGCTCGTGACTCTCAGAGGAGGCCTGTCAATCTGTGTTTAAACTAGCAGCAGAGCTCTCCTCTGGCCCACAAGTGCCCTGTGCTACAGCCATGTCCTCACAGTCACTGTATAAAGGACTTGGGTATGTGTCAGGCCACCACCGTGCACAATGAACTGTGATCTTTGTTACTGGCACTCAGCACCCTTGCTGTCTGATGGGCTCAGCTCCTTATACCGTCACAAACCTTTGCAGGCCCAGCCTATAGCCCCTGAGCTGGGCATTTCATCTGGAAGAAAGCAGTGGAGAAGACAAAGTTCTGTCGTGGGGGGAAAGATTTTTAACCCTAGCAACAGGTTAATTAGTCTTAGGAAAATAAGCAAAATACTGAGCCTGGTCTGTTTAGCACTTTCACGGTTGTGATTTTGACCTTGTAGCCTCACCTGTTAACTTAGCGAGCATTCTTTGAGTGCCTGCTATGTGTGAATTGCTGTGCCAGGTGCTGGGGGCTGTAACAGTGCATGGAGTGGGGTCCTCCGTTCTCCTTAAACTCCCACCCAAGTCCATATCCTGTTTTCGCAGTCGTCCAGTTCAGCCTCACCTGTATGATGTGCCTTTGGTTCGGATTTGCATTTATTTTTGACACAGACACATTCACTTGCGCAGTACAGCTACAGGATGATTGAAATACACCCAAGTCATTAGAGTTCACCTTTCTTACATCCTTCACTGGGGCCTTGACTTGTCCCTAGCCAGATGTCACTGCCCAGTCTCCCAGGACTAGACAGCATCATTGTAATGCTCGCCCTTCCTTCTAGACCCACTGTGGCTGCTGCTGTTTTCATCTGTCTGTGTGGGCTGCTGCAGCCCTGCTCCCAGCCTCCACTCCTGCTCCTGCTCTGGATGTTCCAGTTGTCCTAGGGGTCCAACTCAAAGGCTGTTTCCTGAACCCTCAATCTACAAACTGTCCCTCCTGTAACACCAACTTCAAATGTCTGAGCCTCTTCTATGGTGTCCCCACGGATGGCTCTGAAGCAGAGCTATTTGTGCGCCTGTTCTGTCTCCTACAGAGTAACCAGCTCTCTGAACGCAGGATTAGTTTTATTTTGGTCCCCAAAGAGCCTAGCCTAGTGCTTTATACATGAGGTCCACAGCAGCCATTTGAATAATGATGGAGACAATGAAAAATAATCATGTGTGGCCCTCCTCTTCATCATGGGATAGATATCATTGTTTACCTGCGTGACAACCCCAAATTTCATAAACCACATCCTTAACTAAGTGAATCTCAGCATGGGAAATGACATAGACGTTTGAGAGTAGGGCCTCGCAGAAGTGAGTGCCACCCACGGGATGGCAGAGCTGTACTGAGCTTTGGCGGGGGTGCTGTGCTGGGCACAGTGTCAAGGTAGGAGAGTGAGGAGAAAGGGAATTGCCGGAGTTTACCAAGGCCAGTCTCCATGTGACACGTTTTCTAGACTAGCATTTTCCACCTTGTCACCATGGACATTTGGGCCCCCACATCTTGATTGGGGGCCGTCCTGTGCATTATAGGACGTGGAACTGCATGTCTGGCCTCTGCCCACCAGGTTACAGTAGGGCTCCTTCAAGTTGTGACAATCAGAAATGTCTCCCCATATTGCCCAAGGTCTCCTGGGCAGAATGCCTCCCCTCCCCTCCACTGAGAGCCCTATTCTAGACAGAAAAGCAATAGGAGGCTCCTTCTCAGTAATGGGTGGTGGTGAGCACCCCATGTTTTATTTAGACTTTTGTTCTGGGCTCCTGCTTTTCTTCTCTCAGCATAGAACGCTCTACCAGGGCGGTGAGCTTGAACAGAAACACATTCTAAAAGGCCGAGGTGAAAGAAGGCCCGTTGTAAGAAGAGAAGGGATTTCTTGGAAGCAATAAGCTATATGTAGCATAGTGTTAAGCACCGGGCTTGGTGTTGGAAAGCCCTGGGTTGGAAGCCCGGCTCTGTCACATCTTAGCGGTGTGACCTCAGAAAGCCACGCAATCTCTTTATGCTTCAGTGTCCTCTTCTGTTCAACAGGGATGACACTATTGCCAACACGGGTTTAGTAGAGGGAACATACAACTAGTGCTGAGAAGGGGCTCAGTGCTAGCCTGTCCCCAGGGCAGGAATAGCCAACCCCTTGGCACTCGCAGGTTATCTGCTACTCTGTGGTTTCCGTCACCCTTAGACTGTTTCACTGTGACCACGGCACAGGCAGAGTTGCCCACGCCATACCCTTCAGGACAGATCTACTCACATTACCCAAGCCGATGGTTGGCATTTTTCTCGGATGACTCAGTGAGACAAGTTCCTCCTTGGTATCTTCCTAGTGTTCTGTTTGAGCCATGTCTACCTGCCATTCACGGTATTGGTTAATCCAGGGCCATCTTTTTCTTGAGCATAGGCTCCTTGAACCCTGCATCTAGCACATGGTAGCTGCTCTGTGGTGGTGGCTTAATTATCATATGAATTATCATATTAATTCACCAGAGAGGCATCTTCAGAAAGGGATGATAAGCAGTGATGGGGGTGGAAAGAATGAGGGAATTAATGCCAGATATGTTCCTGAGGTCTCTCCCTTTCTAGCCCCAAGAGGTGCTTTAACACTGGCTTGTCCCAAAGAAGTGATTATCATTCTGAAAAAGAAGAGATGATGAAGACCCATGTTTCTGTTTTCGAGAGTATTCTGTTCCCCTTCCTTTTAGCTGGAGGACCTCAGCTGGTCCCTGGTGTCCTGTGATGGCTTGATTAACTTGCAAACTTTCCTTTAGGACATCAACTTACGGGTGAAGTGGCCCAACGACATTTATTACAGTGACCTCGTGAAACTTGGCGGAGTTCTGGTTAACTCCACGCTTATGGGAGAAACATTTTATATACTTATTGGTAAGTTTTTAAAGCCTTTTCCCCAGCATTTTTAAATTAATAAAAATAAAAATGTTTATACATGGGGGAGTGAGTTATCATATGAATTACTTTTTCTTTGAGTCTTGTAGTTATAGGATACAAGGCAGATTGGTTGAAAGTGCTTCGAGGGGTTTAGCCTTCCTGTCTATGGCCATGCATTTCCTTACACCTTTCCACGCTTCTGCTGCTTGTTGAATTAGAAATGGTGAAAATAAACCACAGCGAGTAAACCTCATACCTGTTAGAATGACTAGTATCAAAAAGATAAGAAATAACAAGTGCTGGCAAGGATGTGGAGAAAAGGTACCTTGTGCCCTGTTGGTGGGAATGCAAATTGGTGAAGCCACTGTGAACCTGAGGCTCCTCAAAAAATTAAAAATAGAATTTTCATGTGATCCAGAGAGTATTTTCAGCACCGTGTACACTTAATTTCATTCCTTACATTCCATAGGCGTTTCAGGTATTGTGTGTGGTGCTAAATGAATGAACCAACAAACCCCTGCAGATCTTGCCCTGTTGCTGGAGTTACTTGGTTTTTCAGGTGCAACTTACACTGCTTTATATTTTAAAGACAGCATATTAAAAAACACAGAATGCTGAGTCCAGTCAGTCCTTCCCTTCACTCTGAGAATGGGTCAGAACGTTTACTGAAGAATAGCGTTATTATAAACATCACTTTTGTATAAGGAAGAGTTTGGGG